AAAGCTCCACTCTGCAAACCGACATAATGGTTGTTATGTTTGTATGTCCTGACGTCTTACTTCACCTATTATATGTGTTCTAGTGATAAAAAAAACACCATGTGGACATGTCAACAAGGTGAAAACTGGATTTTCACTGGTGTTGTTTTGCTCGCTAGACTCTTACAGTGAAACCAACGGGCATCAGAAAGCGATTCAAAAAAAGTATAAAAAGCATAAAAAGTTACGAAACTACTGTTTTGCTTCCTGCATACTCCAAGTAATGAACTATTGTGCTATGTTGCGGTGCCACATTTCTGCCCAAAACGGAAAAAACAAACTCCAGCTCCAGCGTGGGCACTTCGCGCATTGAGCAACCGCTGTAGGTTTCCGACATGTCCGGAAGGGTCGGGTGAGATGATAGGTATTCAGCTGGTTGGTACATGCCATTAAATCCTGTAGACTGGACTTTGGAAGGGATTAATTTGAAGCTTCAAAATTAAAAAAAAAAAAAAAAAAGAAAAGAAATTGAAAAAAGCCCCTCCCGGAAGACAAGCCTGGGCATATTCATGTTCTTGGAAACGAAACAGTCAAATCTAAAAGTCACTATCAACTTGTGGCTTCACAGTGACTAAAAAAAAAAAAAAGTGTTTATCCCACCACGTTCTACATGCTAACTGCAGACTGTTGTGCCCTTCTACACTCACCTAACCAGGGTGAAGAGTGATCGGCTGCAGTCTGGATTTTCTAAAGCCTGAATATGGAGGCAAGTGGAGGTGAGAAAAATGAAGCGTTCATATAGAATTGTTGCCCGCTGATGCTCCAACGAATACTGCCTACCCCAGATTTAATGTATAAACTCATTATGCAAAGCCAAAAGAAAAAAAAAAACAAACAAACCTCGATCACCTCAAGAAGAATTAAAATGCAGGCGAGTTGTCTTCAGCACGACTTTCACCTCAGACGTTTCCCAGGAGAGCGTGAATTTTGCCAGACTTTTTATGCAAGTCATATGTAACATTCAGAATCGAACAAAATCAGATGATTTCATTGTGAGATATCTCGTGTAGCTTTCTTATTTTGACACAGGAGTCTCACTGCCTCATTTAAAGAGTGATGTACAGTGTGCTTGTGGTACCTGTAATGAGTCAACGCTCCTCATGTCGTACTTTATTGCTTTATCTTTGGCTCCTACACACTTGGGTTTTGTTATTCCTGTAATAAGGGTTGGGACTTCTGCAATGCCTCTCACAGTCAGTGGTGGGTTTGCAGCAGGCTCTGTCATGCTTGCTGCTACGCTGTACATCGCCGAGGTTATAAAGACATATACATGACCTATAAAAAGCATTCACCCCCCTCGGAAGTTTCCCCTTTCATTGCTTTTCAACATTGAATTATAGTCAATATAAACTAGCTTTTCTTAAAAGAATTAATAAAACAAAAGTCTGCTTCATGTCAAAGGGATGACAGATTTCTACAAAGTCATGCCTTTGATATTAAAAATATAAAATGTAAAATATGTGATTGTGTAAGTCAGTATTTACTACATGCATCTTTGGCTGCAGCTACGGTACAGAGTCTGTGTGGATGGGACACTTCTACTTTGCAAAACTGCTCAAGCTCTGTCAGGTTACATGGGAATCATGAGTAAACAGCCCTCATCAAGTCTCAATTGAAGTCTGGCATCTGTCTTCGAAACCATTTTTCTGTAGCTTTGGCTCTACATCTAGGCTCACTTTCTAGCTGGAAAACAAATCGTGTATCAATGTCACAGTTTTCTTGCAGTCTGCATCAGCTTGTCCTCCTGGATTTCCCCAATCGTTCCACGACCTGCTGCTGAGAAGTATCCCCACACCATGATGCCACCCCCATGCTTCACAGTAGGGATGGTGTGTTTGTGATGATGTGCAGTGTTTGGTGCCAAATGTAGCGTCCAGTCTAAAAGCCAAAAAGCTCAATTTTGGTCTCATCAGGTCAAAGAACCTTCTTCCAGATGACTTCAGAGACTCCTACACGCCCTCTGGTAAGATCTAGTCACTCTTTCAGAAGTGCCTTCCTCTTCTCCACTGACTGGGGAACGCACAGCCTCTTACACCTTAGTCACTGAAGCTTTCTTTAGAGGAGTCATAGTTGTCTGGTGACTCTTCACTTATTTTATGTTTTATTTTCCATTACTTTGTAGAAATCTGCTTTCCCTTTGTCATGATTCAGTGTTGACAAACGAGAAAAGAATGTTCTCTTTATAGGCACTGGAATGTCCTAGAGGGGCTTCTAGTGCCAATTGTGTTTAGTCATGAGTTATTCGTAGCAGTACTTTTTTTTTTCCACATTATGCTCTTTGGTAGAGGGGCCCAGGGGGAAGAATTGGTGTAAACATGAGCAGACTAGAATATACTCCTCGATAAATCAAGTCATGTGAAAAACAGTGACACTTTAGTGCTAAAAACTGGATGTTGTTGAATGCTATGGAGATGGGCATGATAATAAACTGAGCTTTACTAGTGCTAATATAATATGAGGAAACTGACTCTGTACATTCAGTACCTTTCTCTGACATGACCTGACATGCCCTGACATGCTCTAAAATACTGTGGTTTTCACAAAAGTTTCAATGTTTTGGTACATGTCCCAAGTAAAACACCTGCTTAGCATAAACGAAACAGGTGTCCTACATCATCTGGCTTGTTGCACACGTAAACACGGAAGAGGCTGGATGTGACAGCAAGACGAGCCGGCAGCTGAGAGCGAACATCTGCCTGTGGGAGCGGGGGGACCTGCCACATGGTTTCACAATGAAGCTTCCCCTCTGTGGGCGCAGCAAACACGAGAACACTCGACTCACAACGGAGAATCAAAGCGCACACTTTCGTAGCCATGATGCCCCCACGGACAGCGTGAACAACAACCAAGAAGAAGAAGAAGAAAAAAAAATAAGATGATCTAAATGTCAAGTGGTAAGGATAAGCTGCAGCAAACGATGATGTGTAGCAGAGTGTTCAAATGGGGAAATCCATAACTGCAAGTAACGTTAATTCAGAGAGGGAAGGTTTTTTTTTTTTGTTTTCTCTCTCCATCATTTTGCCTGAGAACGTCAGCTGTCAGGCAGTAGGATGACGACAGTTTGTGAAAAAACAGTGTGAACAGGTTTATCAGCAGCAGCCCACACACATCCTTTGCAATGTTCAACTCAGGTTAAAAGGTTGCTGGCGTATAAAACTTTACAAAAGGTGAGAAGTTTAAATCTGATTCAGCTGCTGAACACCGGATGATCAGAATTTTAAGACAGCCGGGTGATGTTGACTGACACAGGTGTAGCGACCACAACTGAAAATACAGTCCCACCATAGGCATCAAAGCATCTATTTCCCCTCCAAAAACACACTTTTTTTTGTGTTTTTTTTGATGTGCAAACTGCTCTGACACTTGTTCTACACAACCTAAATCTGAGGAAGTCTTCTCCAGACAACAGAAATGATCTGCAACCAAAAATCAGACATTGAGACGTATGGCTAGGACCTAAATGATTCCTACTAGTGCCAAATCTGGATGTATAGTGAGTTTCTACTACTCTGGTCTTCAGTTCCTTCTACATATTTTCAATAGGATTTAGGTCTGAACTTTGGTTGGGCTGCTCAAAAATGCTGATACTGTTTTGTGTTGCCCATTTTGGCTGTATGTTATAGATCATTGTCTTGTTGGAACTTCCAGTGCAGCCCAAGGTCAAGTCTTTCTGCAGACTGCCTGATGTTTTCCTCCACAATCTTAATGTCTTTTCCCATGATGCCCTTCGCTTTGACAATGCTGTCCCACCACCATGTTTAGCTTCAGAGAAGGTGTTCTTGAGGTTCAATGCATCTTTTTTCTCTCACCAAACAAAAGCCACGTGTCTGTGTCCGAATAACTCATCTCATCTGACTGCAAAATTAATGACCCAAAGCTTTATTCTTTGTCCAGCTGAGCCTCTGCAAAGGTTAGTCGTCCTTGGTCAGCGACTGATGGAGTGTCTCACTTTAGGTGTTTGTATCAAAATTGTTCCGATTCATCAGCACAGTCTTGGTGGTGATCCTTGGATTCTGCTTGGCCTATCATTCCTGAGAGGACAGGGTTCGCCTTTGGCTTCCTACCGTAACCTTTAAGATTTTTCACACTATGAAACTTCTTGTACCTTTCCATGACGCTTTGCACTGTAGGCACTGGCACTTGAAAACACCGGCTTTATGGACCTTCCTCATCTTGCTTACAGCCAGTGTGCAGCTCTCTTTCAGGCACTAACTGCATTCCTACTCAGCTCTTTGGTTTTAGCCATTACTGAGCAGACAACTCCTGTATTGTTGAAATTATCAGGACCAGATGGAATGGAGAGTTTGCGAAACTGGCAACAATGTCAAAGGGTAGGAATACATATGCACAAGGCATTTTCAAGAAAAATGTAAAAAAAATAATAATAATAAAATTGTAGAAACCTCACAACACAATGCTTTACTGTCTTTTGTAACTTGTTTAAGTAATTTCCAGTCAAAAAAAACCTATTGATCAACTAAAAAACTCCCAAGGGGATCAAAAATTTGACGTGGGTATGAATAAATTTGGGCTTAACCGTAAGCAGCTGTTTGATTTAATATGTCACTAAAAAAAAAAAAAAAAGTTACCAGTGCCTTAAATTCGAACTCCTATTCAGGGCATGAGAGGTGATTCAAACTTGGAAAAAGGAAAACAAACATTTACAGAAAGTGAGACGAGAAAAAGATGATCACTAAAACTAGTTATTATAAACCAAGCGTTAGCTATAACCACTGCGTTCCAGATATGACCTGTGACACATTTCACATCAAATGTGACTAAAATAAAACCATCCAAACAACTAAAAGCAAGAGTAAAGTGAAAGTCCCTTCCAGCGTGGCGCTGCATGAGGAGAGGTTTTATTCTTAGAGCGGCGCTGACAGCACACTGTATGCGACAGTCTGCTGTGCGCTTTTAAGTGGTGAACACATGGAAGAAAAGATGACTGAGAGAAACCAAAATTAAATAGATCATAGTTTAATGCTGAAGATAAACCCACACTCCCGACCTCTGTTTCCCCCCTCGCTTCAAGTCTGTCATGTCAGTAGCTTTCGTAATTACGGCACAATATGGCACTCGTCCACACACACACACTCACACACATACACTCACACACAGCTTTAGGTTTATTTAATATTATAATCCGCAAATTTATATTCTTTCGCCTCACATTTCTATGTCACTACGTAGTTAAATATTTACACACTGATGCAGCAGAGTCAATTCTCTTTTCCTTCCAAAGGTAAATTTCAATTCAAGAGGGGGAAAAAAATGTTCTCAGGTCCAAAATAAATGTAATTTCCTGTTAATTCAACAGTAATTTTAGTTTCTTGGACTGTAAGCTCCAAACAGCCTGAAATATGGCTGTGCAGTGTCTTTCACAAGGAAATAGGTGGCTCATTGTAACCCTCCCTCCTTTCTTGAGACCGTTTCTGTCTCTCCGAGCTTCGTCCTAACTCCGACGGAAAAGCCGGAGGGAGGATTTGGCGGAAGGCAGGATGTCATTGAAACCAGTAGTAGTAGATGGAGGGGTTCTTACAGCAGAAACTGTCCTTTAGTGCACAACAGTCCTGAGAGAAAGTTTATAAAGTTGAAGGTGACACAGTTCCAACTCTTCAAAATCCTGTCATTTTCTTTCAGAGAACCACTCCAGTCTTGACAAGAAGAAATGTAAGCCTTTGTTCCACCCTGTTGCCTCTTTCACTCACTCTGCATTTCCTTTAAAACCTGATCTGTTTGGTCCCTCGCCGTCTCCTCTCCAGGCTTGCTGAGGAAAGTCCCGGCTCTTTTGTCGCTCTGTCTCCTTCCTTCTTCCTAGGGATGTGGGAGGTTCATTCGGTCTTCTATTAGAGTGTTGTCAGGGCCCTGCGCCTCCATGCACTGCTTTACAGTCGCTATGACTCCAGACTGACGCCTGTCCAGGGCTGCGAGGTGTGGCTCAGCCAGCACCGGGTCGATAGGATCGAACGCCAGAGCCTGCCGCATGGCTGCACTCAGAGCTCCGCCTCTCAGTAGGTTTAATCTGTTCCAAGTGGACACACGAACCCTGAAGGAGAGAGAAGGAACCGGTGAATATAGTATAAAAGTAATCTGATCAGAATAAAACACCTGATCGTTTCCTTACTTACATGCAGCACTGATATAGTGGCGCGAGGATACTTCGCTCATCCAACGCTGGGTTCCCAAAGCTGCACAAAGAGAAAACAAAAATACTATTAAAAACTAAATAATGGCATTTAAAGCCAGAGGCATGTCGCATTCAGTAAAATGAGCAGGCCACGGCACACACAAGTGTTTATGATACACGAGTCCCTCTCTGCCAAAAGCTAAATAAGCTCTTGTGTTTGGTAGCAGTTATCTGATGCGCAAAGCTGAAGAGTCTTTTACCTGAAAACCAGGATGACAAACATCCACTAAAAGCAGAAAAAAAGCATTTGGTGTTAACAGTCAACAAGACTTGGAACAGATTCCGGGACAAGTTGAAAATCTAAGGAGATAATGTGAAAAGCCACATTGTTAGTTGCATTTGGAGGAATCTTTCATGGCTGCAAACTAACAACATGACCTGAATTGTTTATTAATTCTTAGCTGCTGCCTCATGAGACTATTTTTTGCATTCCTGGACTTCTTTCAGACATTTTGTAGAGACCAATAAGATGAAAAACAATAAATGACTCACTCCTTATACAGGGCCTTTTAGGATTTAAAGTAATACAACAAATTGCTGAGTTTGAAGTGGGTCCTAAGTGGTTTACAATGAAGAAAGATCAGCAAGTTAGTGAGGTAAGTTGAGCCTAAAGTCAGAGTTTTTAACATAACAAAGGTGTTCCTCTTTAACCTGCTAGATCACCATGGTAACTACCAAGCTAACCTGCTTCAGAAGAGGTTCTGTTCAGAGTTTCAGATGTAGCCGTGAGAAGCATCTCCCTTTTACCACTTGTGCCAAATGTGTGTGGTTATGACTTAATAGTAATCGCAGCAGTATTTTTAAGTACTTTTTTTTACACTATGATCTTTGCAGTGGAGTCTGGAGGGAAGAGTTATATACTCCTCGACAATCAAAGAATGTGGAAAAAGTTATTCAGAAGTAATACAAGATGAATGCTGCTACATGCTACAGAGACAAAGGAGAAAATTAACGGGGACTTTCTGGGTGAAAACACAATATGACGTATTCAGTAAAAGCACATTCTGCACTTCCTCTGAGATGACTTGACAAGCACCCAAAACACTGTGGGTTTCACAAAAAACATTTCTTTTTGTGTGTGTGACTTTTCCTTATAGGTAAATCACCATATGAGTATTGTCTGGTAATTTTCTCTGAGCGATGCCGATTCTCTGCTGAGGGAAAATGTTACGTCTGTGAACCTGTACAGCTGTACATTACTAACACTGCACAGATTCATGCAGGGACTGTACTGGGCCACTACGTACAGCTTCCGTAGAGCCATGAGGGAGGCCAAGCAGAGGTACAGGGAGAAGCTGGTGTCACAGCTGCAGCAGAGGGACATCAGGGGACTACAGTGACGGACTACAAAGCAACACCGACGCCCATGGTGAGTGTTAATGAACTCAACTTTTATGCGTGCCTCTCAGCTGGGAGCCTCGAAGCGCGCTTCCTGCCCGGCAGAGAGGAGGAGACGGGGCGGAGCATGACGTGAGGCGGATGTTTCAGTGCGTGAATACCAGGAAAGTTGCAGGACCTGACGGTATAACCGGCCGTGTCCTGAAAACCTGTGCCAACCAGCTTGCACCAGTGTTCACGAAAATATTCCACCTCTCGCTCTTCCAGTGCATCATCCCCAGATGCTTTAAACAGTCTGTCATTGTTCCTGTCTGCAAGAAAGCCACGCCCAGCTGTCTAAACGACTACCGGCCCATTGCCCTTACCTCTGTGGTGATGAAATGTTTTGAAACTTCATCACCTCATCCCTACCTGCCTCCCTGGACCCCCTACAGTTTGCATACCGGCCAAACAGATCCACAGACGACGCCATAAATCACCTGCTACACACAGCCCTGGCCCACCTGGCCACGAGGAAGGGGAATTATGTGTGAATGCTGTTCGTCGACTTCAGTTCAGCGTTCAACACCATAAACCCCTCCAGACTGGTCACTAAGCTGCAGGACCTTGGACTCATCTCCTCCCTGTGCAGGTGTGTCTACAGCTTTTTGACCAGCAGACCACAGGTGGCTCGAGTGGGGAACCACCTGTCCCCCTCAGGCACCCTGAACATTGGTGCCCCCCAGGGCTGTGTGCTGAGCCCTCTGCTGTACTCACTGTACAACAATGACTTACGCAGGACCTGATGTGGTCCCGTCACATCAACACCCTAGTGAAGAAGGCTCGACAGCATCTCTACCTCCTCAGACGCCTGAGGGACTTTAAGCTCCCTCTCAAGGTGCTCAGGAACTTCTACACCTGCACCACTGAGAGCGTTTTAGCTGGGAGTATCACCACCTGGATGGGCAGCAGCACCCAGCAGGACTTCTTGGCCCTGAGGAGGATGGCCCGCTCGGCTGAGCGCACCATCAGAACCATCCTCCCCAACCTGTAGGACATTTGCCACAAACGATGCAGGTTAAAGGCCAGGAAGATTATGAGTGAGCCACCCACCCCAGCTACAGACTGTTCTCTCTGCTGCCTGAAGGCAGACACAGAGAGGATGAGGAGGAGCTTCTTCCCTCAGACTATCCGCCTGCTGAACCTGAGACAATAGACTCAACCGGTCACTTTGCACTTTTCACCTTGTATATATACATGTATATAATATTACTATTATTGTCTTTATTTGTTTTATTCCCTTTTTGCAGTGTTTGGAAATTTGATTCATTTATTTCTGCTATTTCTTTCTCTCTCTCTCTCTCTAATATATTTACATATATGTACTTCTTGTGTGCTTTATTCCTTATTCTTATCTTATTGTTGTTTTGGTGTGGAGCAGGTACACAACGCTTTCATTGTGCTTTATACCATGTATAACTGTGTTTGTGACCAATAAAATACCTTGAATCCTTACACCATGGTACGCTGTATGCGTTGCCACGGCAAATGACACATGTTCAACTGTTGCTGCAGGAAACGCACAAATGTTTGTATGTTTGGTCGATTTCCTGCCAAGTGTGTTTTACACTGCAGCTAACAGAGATTAGAAAATAGAAAATATTTAATTTGTACACAAACTAAAGTGATTTCCTTCATTATGAGACGGTGTCTGGTCTAAATGCACTTTTTCCAATATTGTGTTTAAACAAAGTTCAGCTTTTTTCTTTCTTTCTTTTTGACAGTGCCTATTTTGTGACTTCCTCAAAATCTTGAGTCTTTCCGTCTGTATGAGTCACATTGGGTACAAGAGTTGCAGTACATCGATCTCTAGACCACTTTCTGAAACTCTCCTCTTGGAATTGACCGCTTTTTTACTCATCTTGGTCATAGACAGAGGACTCAGTATTGTATTTCAACACCCATGGAGACCACAACTGCAGGGATCCCATCCAATTGTCTGCATATTGTCTTTGTTACCATCATCAGTGTGATTGGATGCAAAACTTGCTGCTTCAAATGAAAGCAATAACTCGACTTTTTCCACCCGACTAGTGGAAATTTTGCTATTGTAAACAGTTGTCACTCTGACTTGGTCTTTAGTTTTGGTCTCATCTTTATTTCACAGACAGTTGAAACCAGAAGTTTACATACCCCGTATAAAAAGACACATAACCTTTTTTTTTTCACTATCTGACATTAAATCAGACTAAACTTTTCCTTATTTCTATTTGCTAAACACCAGAATATTGAGAGATTTTTTTTAAAGAGAATATTTAACTATTTTCTTCTAAGTCAGACGTTTACATATGGTAAGATTACTATGCCTTCAAACTATGTAGGAAAGCATAGATGCTGATGTCATGGCTTTGGAAGCTTTTGATAGGTTAATTGACAACATCTGAGTTAATTGGAGGCACACCTGTGGATGTATTTTAAGGAACACCTCAAAAGCCAGACTACAGTTTGCAAATGCACACAGGGACAAAGACCTGAATTTTTGGAGACATGTCCTGTGGTCTGATGAAACTAAAATGGAACTTTTTGGCCATAATGACTGTCGTTACATTTGGAGGAAAAAAGACTAAGCTTGCAAGCCCGATAACACCATCTCAACTGTGAAGTACGGGGGTGGCAACATCATGTTGTGCGGGTTTTTTGCAGGAGGGACTGTTTCACTTTGCAAAATAGATGGCATCATGAGGAAAGAACATGATGTAAAAATATTGAAGCAACATCTCAAGACATCAGCCAGGAAGTTACAGGTGGGGCACAAATGTGTTGTTTTGTTGCTAAATGCCAGAATAATGAGAGAGATTTTGTATTTTTTTTTATTACTTTCTTTAAAGTCAGAAGTTTACATACAGCTCCTTAGTATTCGGTAGCATTGCCTTTAAACTGTATGACTTGGATCAAATGTTTTGGGTTTCCTTCCACAAGCTTCTCACAATTGTTTGCTGGTATTCTGGCCCATTCCTCCAGACAGAACTGGTGGAACTAAATCAGGGTTGTTGGCCGCCTTGCTTGCAGACGCTTTTTTAGCTCTGCCCACAAATTTTCTACAGGATTGAGATCAGGGCTTTGAGATGGCCACTCCAAAACACTGACTATGTTGTCCTGAAGCCACTTTGGCACTGATTTGGCAGTATGATTAGGGTCACTGTCAGCATCTGGGCTTTCCCACATAGTTTGAAGGCATAGCAATCTTACTGTATGTAAACGTCTGACTTTGAAGAAAGTAGTAAAAAAAATTATCTTCATTATTCTGGCATTTAGCAAATAGAAATAAATTTGGTAATCCTAACTGACCTAAAACAGGAAAAGTTTAGTCTGATTTAATGTCAGACAGTGAGGGGGGGAAAAAAGGCTGTCTTTTTATACAGTGTATGAAAACTTGTGGTTTCAACTGTATTTTTTTTGTTTGAGAGAACACCCTTATTTTTAATAGTGCCAAGGCACAAACCATGAATGCAAATGTGCACCAATAAGGAAGAATGAATGGTTTATGGGATAACAACTACATTTCACAATGCTTAAGAGTGTACGAATTGGAAATTAAGCAAATAAATGAAACAACTACAGCAATAAAAATAAGAACCATTAAAAGAAAAAAAAATTAAACGACAGTTACAATTATGTAACAATTAAAATTTAGAATACTGTCAATGGTATTAATTAGGTAAAATGAATAAAAAATGTATATTCCAAGCATATGGGGAACAGTTACAAAAACTCTGTGTGAACCTGTGTGTCAGGTGAGGCATGTCTCAGAGTAGGGCTGAAGCATAGGGGAGGAAGCTTTTGGAAAACAGTGTCATAAATAACTAACAAATGCTGATCGCTCTGCACTGACTTTTACTAGTGCATCTCAAAAAACTAGAATATCATATAAATACCTCGGAATTTTTTTAAACCATACACCATAACCATCAAAATGAAAGTAAAAAAGTGCTTCACACATTTTACTGCACATGTATGAGTCTAAAACTACATCACATTTTCACTTTCTTCAATAACTGATGGAAAACATTAAACTTCTTCTGCTTTTTTAAGGTGCGGTTGTAGACAATGGTGTGTTATTTTCCATAACATCAGCAGTTACTTTAGGCTGCACAAAACCGAAACACAGCAGCCCTTCTGAAGGAAAACAATTCCTGTACAAGCAGATACAACTTAGATTAAGTTGATGAGAGACTGATACTGGTTGTTTTTTGTCTTTGTTTTTGTTTTTTGTTTTTTAAATCGGGAACTAATGCTATTATAATGTGACAACAACAGGCAGGACTCTCTACTAGGTGAGAAAGAGGCTCAACTCTTGGAAACAGTAAGAAAGAATCTGCTGCTTCTCCCTCTCCGACAAGAATCTGAGCCTCAGACAAGAATATCAACCAAAAAACAGCCCACTCATAACATGAAGCTGCTGAGATCTTCCAATGTGTTCACAATATGGATGAAGAAAAAACAAAAAAATGATAGACAGAAATCAGAAGTTCAATCGGACGTCCTTTATTCCCAGCAAAAGCTTAGTTTATCGCCACATCCTGTCAACTGTGAAAAAAAATGTTGCTTAGAAGGTTTTTCCACTGTTGGGTTTTGATCAGCAACGGCAAACTAACCTCAAAGAGGGATTAACAGCTCGGCGTCCTCACTTCATGAAGTGGGCGTTCACCATGAGTCAGTCACAAACTAGTTTCAATGGCGATAAGTGAGTTCTTGAAAATAAAATGAGGTGGGCATAGCTGAGAATGTCAAACTAATTGAAAATGAAAATAAAAGTAAGACTTCAAATGTGAGATGAAAAAGTGAACTTTTAAAAAATGATCAGACTGTGGCGGTGGAGCACTGATTCAAGTGCAGGATCTTCCAGGAAGTCTGAGTTACTGATTTAGCTCTTGTGGTAATGTCGTGGGAAGAATCGACTCCGATGTCATTCGCGATTTCCAGTCAACGGACAATGGATGTTCCCCTGTTTTTTTTTTGTTTCTTTTTTTTATGGAAGTGGTGTATTGAGTTGCTATACAGTCTCCATTTGAGTTGACATTTGGGATTTTTGGATGAACTTTTCCATGGTGATAAAAATCCACGAGTGTGTGGTTAAAGAACGCAATTAAATGTTTATATTTTGGTAAAATCTTTTGCGCATAACTCACCTCTTTGCGTTGTCGAGCAGGATGAGCATGCTGGCTCCTCCGTCATCCTGGAAACTCTCGTAGTGATGTCGGTCAGCGTTGCCGATGAGATAATCAAATATGGCTGTGTCGATGACGTCCAGCAGCCTCGGTCCTGCGTCGTATGGGGGCATTTTCTTCACCGCATCACAGTAGCTTTCGTCATACTCCCACCTGGATGATGAACATAAATGACGCAAATCCTCTGAAATCTGATCAAAATTCACCTTATTTACAAAAAATATGCCTGTCAGGTATGCATACACTCAGCTGTGGATGGCTTGGATCCACAGCTTAGATAAAATTCTCTAAAATATGATCTAAATCTAAATCACTACTGCTGAGATTTCCTGTCACACAACTGGTCTGCGCACATATTCAGCTTTAATTCAGCAGGTACACTGTCCTCAGTGACGAGAAACTCACTCACATTTTAGGGAAAACTCTGCCAAAATTCTCTCTTTAGTTATTCTGTGAAGTCAGCTTTTGCTTAATATTTAAAGACCAGTGAGAGCGAATTGTCACGATGAAGGCACATTTCTCTCTGATGATGTCAGTATAATGTGCTGGTGGTCTCCTTTATCTACATGAAAGCGACAGCGTGCAGAATGTTCGCATTAATGTGTCGCTTCCAGCTGAATTTTGATAACGCGGGATAAGAGCAGCAGAAAAACTGGACCACAAATGAGAATGCAGACTGAAGAACAAAAGAGAAACCTGGTCCGAAACATTTAGCAAGAAAGTATAAAATACAAGCAAATACAAAGACATATAAATATATACTGGGAAGGAAAAGTAATTGGTAATGTCTTATTTAATAGGTTGGTTAATTTTTTACAAAGATTTTCCATTAAGTTTCAGTGAAAGATGCAAAATAATGTACTGCCAATTATGAGGATAAACAAAAATATTCGCTTAAAGTAAGAAACCATTTACTTACTGGTAATTTGTCATGGGAAGCTTTATTCTTTTTATGTGTTGAACTGTGTCATTGCCTGGAAATAGGACTAGGTGAATAAACATTTATTTTTAATTCTATTTCAATTTCACTTTCAGCTTCCAAAAAATATTTAAAAAAGACAATTGTGGTGAAACTATGATGCTGCCACATTTCCGTTTGCATAATTATGCACTCGTCATCATTTAAGGGAACTGTAATAAACCTCAGCATTGTCATAATATTTCACACCCCAGGACTGTTGTGTAATGTGAAAACAACTTACAACGTGTGACAAGTTTTGGTGCAATATATGCATTTAAAACTTTCCATACATGCTTGTTATCATGATGCCGCTTCCTTTTGTACTTCACAGAAAACTTTGTTGTACAAATATGTGCAAATGACATAAACAGCTATTCTATTTTATACTGTCTCTGGTCAAACGTCACATTCGTGGACAACATGGTGCTCTTTCAACAATGGTTGGTCGCTAATCGAATCTGTGATCATGCATGAAATCTTTCTAATTGTTTATTCTATTTCTTGTTTTATTTATTGTGGTGTTAATGTTTGTTTGTGCACCATATTAGATTGTATTATGATTAATATGAATGGGGCAGGAGTCTATCCCAGCTGACTTAGGGTGAAGGTAGGGGACACCCTGGACAGGTCGCCAGTCTATCACTGCGAGTCAGACAACCAAGCACACTCACATTCACACCTACGGACAATTTAGAATCACCAATTAACCTCAACATATTTTTGGACTGTGTGGGAGGAAGCCGGAGAATCCGGAGAGAACCCACACTGCACGGGGAGAACATGCAAAATCCACGCAGAAAGATCCCGAGTGTCCTCACTGGGAGGTGAACCGGCGACCTTCTTGCTGCGAGGCAATGGTGCTAACCACCGAGCCACCTTGCAGCCCTCTAATGATTATAAGCCCTACCTCAACAGAAATGTGACACTGCTGCACTTAACCTGCTGTGTGCAGACTTAAAGTTCTATGTTTTAATAGTTTGTAATTGATTGGTAATCATAACACCAACAAACACTTTAAAGAATTTATAAAATCATAAATCCATGAAATAAATCCCTCAACAATCCTATTTCTTTCTAAATAAATAAGCATTTCCACTAGAACCCTAATAAAACCAAAGTATAATTAACTAATAAAATGACCAAATAAATATAAAACACATAGAAATGAATAAAGTTTTGGGCAAACAAAGACAAACAACCAAGTCTGTGTCGAAGTAATCCCACCACTGTGCTGTGTCAGGATCTTTTTTTTTTTTTTTTTTTTTACATATATCTTTAATTCATATTTAGATTATCGAGTATTATTCTCTGCACCTCTTATATTAATCGCACATTATTTCATAATTTGATAATTTGGGGTTACTCTCCTCACCTTTTATTATTATCTTAATCTCACATTATTATCTTAAGGCATAATCAACACAATTGATAAACAATTGCAGCATGAGAAAGTGTAAGTGGAGACAGGATTTGGTGGTTTGTGTATTTCTCTGTCACAAGCAGGTATCTGCAGGAGGGAGAAACTGAGGAAGTCTCTGCACCTACGAGATGGTGGAAGAAGGCTCAAGGACATGGAGGGGCCAATCAGCTCGCTGCAACACATTCTGTGCACATTCTCGTGTAATAGTATAAGTACACTGGATCAGGGAGAGGCAGTCAGTCAGACTTCACGCCCTGACATTAACTTTGTTGGTGCTAGGGTAAGAAGTTTGATCCAGAGCTCTGTATGCTTATTCAACTATCTGATAAATAAATACACTGAGTGAGACCTAAATATCTTCTCCTATTGCTTCATTAAACGAATGCACAGGAGCTACCTCACACATAGTGTAATTTCTGGTAGATTGAGATTCAGCTCCAAGAATTTGGTGACCCTGACGTGATGAAGACGGAGAAGTTAAGGTCCAGAGAACTGCAGAAGGATCACAGTGAACATCCATCACGGTTTGACAACCCAGACGGCCGTCTCAAAACAAAGAAGGTAAGCAGACACCTGCTCTATCAAAGTTCTGCCACTGGAAATTCTAAATTGGGGTTGTCACAGAGTGAGTGTGTGTTCTAGTCTAGTGTGTGGTAAACGCCTGGGTGGAATTCCCTAGGAAGTGGTTCAACCTAAAACAACTATAAACAAAGACCAAAAAAACCCAAAAAAAACAAAAGCAATAAAAAGGAGTGACAAAATAAATGTTGTTGAATAAAGAGTTAAAAACATATGTGCATGGGTGTTTAAAACTGTGTTGTGGGAGGTAGTTATTGGTAGTGTCTCAGATCAGAAAGACAGGAGTTAAAAGGTAATACTGATCTCTGTGCAAACCTAATGGTGATAACACAAGGAGGCTGAGGTGAAGCCTTTGTGGTGGTCTCCACCGACTTCTGAAAAACTGAATCTGATTGGACTGGTTGCTCGGGTGAATTCCATACAAACCAGTCTGCTACTAAGGGGCAGGAGGTAAGTATCACACAAACACAAGGGAAAAGAAAAAATACAGAATTGAGGGAGATCATGGAGGGTGAGTTTGATAGGGAGTGTGCAGAGCAAACCCCCCCCCCCATAGAAACTGAGAGACAGCAGTGGGAGACAGCATTGAAGCAATTAATGAGCGGAACGAAACCCAAAAAGATCAAAAATACCTCAAACAGAAATATGAACATAAATACCAAGAGTTAAAAGAACAGGGAAAGTTCACAGATAATCAACCTGCCAGTCTCACCAAAATATTAATGAAGGAAGAACAAAAAACTAACACAAAAATAGAAAAATGCAAAAACATGGAAAGTGAAACAGGAACTTAAAGGTAAAGAGGCACACAGACAATTCATTCATAACATGGGTCTGGCATGTGGAGCGATGGATGGTATCAGAGCGCACCAAGGTCAGCCTCCTAAAGGCAATAATGAAAAAGCTCAAAGCCCGGAGCCTACACAGGAAAAAGGGGAGTGTAAACCTGCCAAAAAAGGCCTTTCCCGGTCACTGCTGTACAATCAGATGCCCTTATTTACAGTCCCAGGTGGACTCATTGAGCTAACAGACAATCAGGGAAGATAGATCAGCTGAGGACAGAAATATTGTAGTATGTGAGGAGGAAAGAGAACGAATGTTGGAGTTTAAAGAGCAGGTAATAGCAAGTGTTGCTGCATTGCAGAAAGAGCAGGAGAGAGAGAAGGAATTGAGTCGCCAGGAAAAACAGAGCTGAGAGTAGTGAGAGAGGAAGTGACAGTGGTAACAGTAAGTCAGATAGCAAAGCAGGGAGGTCAGCAGGTAGCTTAACCTCAGCATCAGCGAGACAAAAACAGAAAATGGATGAATTTAGGGTAAGAAAGGAACGTGAGCAGGGAGAATATGGTGGTACTTGAGCAAGTGTTAGGTGACAGGCCAGAATGAGATGAGGAAGAGGATGAGTATGAGTGTAGCATCTCCCAAGGAGAAGGACATTTATACGGAGCCACATTTACAGGGACATTGGAGGTATTCCCAGAGGATTTACCTCATCCAGATACCACCATGAGAGCATATAATCTGAGGGACAGAACGAACCTGAAGCTGCCTGAACGATATAATGCAGACAAATCAAAACCTAACTGTGACCCCTATACCGGAGAAAAGGGCGGTAACCAGACGCCCTTATTGCCAAAAGGGGGCAAAATCACCTATCAGTGATATATAACATTACATACACAGAAAGACGTGAGGCTCATAGCTGTTTATTATTATTAGTAGTATTGTGCTCATTGCAGACATGTTATCAGTAGAGTTATAGAAGGTTGTACACTCCTGGGAAAGTAGGTTCTGTTCCCGGTACCATGACGGCTACTCCTGATATGAAAATGTTTAGCTTATGCTTGTAACATTATGGTTGTTTTGTTTGATTAACATTGCTCTGTTCATTATTTCCACATGCAGGTGTAATGAAGAATTGCTTGCTGCAAGTTAGAGCAATGAAGAGCAGCTTACACATACCAGCATACACATAGGATGCTCAATGCAATGAAGACATGCTTACATGCCCACTATGCGATTGTATTGCATCTTGAGGTGGATGGGCACTTGCAGTTTGGGGGCCTGTTGAGTTGGCTACCACAGACAGATGTGATACAATGGCGCTAACGTTCCCACCTTCATTTAATTGACATGACAAAATTATGTCAAAAGGGGGAAACTGTATAATTAATTACGTTTTGAGATATTATGTATTCTAAATCTGTATATTTCCACTGAAACCATGATTCTGCTTTGTATTTTTTCTACTGAGCACAATGTACGTCCTTGAAGATAACATGACCGATGAGAACTGGTTCACATACTGGGAGACAGCGGAAACTCCTCTATTCTATCAGTTGCTTTAGATACACGCCTTTTGGACAACACACACACACACTCTGTGTCCTTTTGACCACGCCCGACGAGTGGGGCCTGTCTCCAGGCCACTGAAATCATGCTTAGGCACCTTCATCTTTGTGGTTTTAAAGTGTCCCGCTCTAAATCACAATGTTGTCGCAGGTCAGATACTTTCTTAGGAAGACTAATGTCAGCTTCAGGCTCGGGTCTGGCCCCAGCACATCGCACAGCCATTCTACATCACCCCAAACCCCACACAGTAAAAGACATGCTCTCATTTTTAGGGTTAACTGGGTTCAGCAGACATTACATTCCTCAGTACAGGGCGTGCACTGCCCCCCTCAGACGTTTGGTAAATGATAAAGGTATGAGAAACCTCACAGTTCCTTGACTGGACACAGGAGGCCGAAACTGCTTTCATAACCTTGAAGAACGCTTTATCTTACTTCTCCAATGTGGCAGTCCCAGACTACTCCTCCCCTTCTTATTTGGATGTTTCTGAAGTCAAACACACAGTAAATGGTGCTTTGTTTCAGAAAAAAGGGGGAGGTCGAAAAGTGCTCATGCATCCAGCATAACGACACACATAGTCATGGGGCATCCACTCACTGTACTGACCACACATAGTGTAGTCTCATGTCAATTAGGCAGCATTCACGATGTCATCACTATGGAAAAAATTCTATCTGCACCACATATCACATTCGAGGGAATCAACATGGCAGACCATATGCTTGAGGGAGAAGCACATGAAGGTGAGAACAGAGTATGTCAAAGTGAGGGTGGATCAGTCAGCAGAACTCCTAGCAGAAGTAGAATAGGTATTGTTCACAGGTGGTGTTGTCATATACATACCACTAAAGGAGTACCGGCAGGATATGCAGGGATCAGAAAGTCAGAAGAAGGTTTTGAGGAAGTTGAAACAGGAAGGATAGTGGATAAGCCAGCAGCACAGAAGGCCAAGCTCATGGCTGTAATCAGAGCATTGGAGGGAGCAAAAGCCGTAGCCTCAGACAAAGTGACAAGAAGCGCATGGATTGGCACATGTTCGACATAAGCAAATTAATCGCCTCTTGACACACTGGTGGCATCCATTCCTGCCTGAAATGACCAGACACTTTGTAAAAACTTGTAAAATATGAACAGATCATGACCCAAAAGCCACCATCAAGCCACATGAGGGAAAGTTCCCAGTGTCCTCTTTACCGGGGCAAGAAATTGTCCTTGACTAAACAGACATGGGGGACAGAGTAAAAAGCTACAGATACCTGCTAGTAGCTGTGGACTCTTACACAGGATGGCCAGAAGTGTGTCCAGCTAAAAATGAGGACGGTCATCAAGTTCCTGATGAATCAGTACATTCTGATGCATGGGTTCCCCAGGAGAATCAGATCAGATAATGGAGCACACTTCAAGAACAAAGACCTTAAGATGGTGGAGAAAATGCTCTATGACCAACTAACAGCACATGTGTCAGCTTTTTCTCAACAGGGGGGAGGACAGAAGGACGGACGGAGAGGAGAATAAGGAGTCCTGCTAAAGGTCATCAAAAGGAAGTGGTCAGAACCAAGGTGGATTGGACCATTTCAGGTGACTGAGTGAACCTCACATGTGGTGAGGCTCAAAGGTAAAGGTGACACTTGCTATCACTGGAGCATGTGTGCACCTGCTGGACAACCAGAAAAAAACTGGGTGAGATCATTGAAGGTCAGAAAGAGGACCAATGAACACTTGCTACGCGGAAAGTGTCTCTGTAATCAAAAAAGAAGGTTTAAAGCTCTCCATTACAAGGTTGTGTGTTGGATAGAGTTTTGTCTGATTTGCTTTCGCAGAAAAGATGGCGGACTTTCAGAACTGGAAGAACCCCAAATGCATGTGTGTTTTTGTTTTTATCTAATTTCTCATTGTTACAGGGATTTTACTGTGGGAAGAGTGGAATCGAGGTAAGGTGACGCTGAACAATTAGCAACAGGACTACTGCCTGAAGGGATATGGTGGTATCGAATTGAACTACATAAAAAATAGTCCCACAACTTTTCAATTTGATCTCTGTCAGGTAAGCCAAATTCGACTAGTGAACAACAAAAGGGGGTGAAAGCCACTGACCATACCCGATTGACCACCAATGATCTCGTTAAAATTCCCAATAATACTGCCCCGGACGGCTCAGTAACCAGAGCCCTTGAAGGATTGCGACCACTATCTGAAGTAATACATGCACTGAAAAAAAGCGTAGCCCAAATATAAGATATAAACACTAAATTTGAGAAGAAAATGACTTAAAACTATTGAAATTATCTGTCCATGCAGCAAGTAAATTTCACTTGATATGGAATCTTGAAACAAGATTTTTAATGCTCAATTCAAGATTGTACTGTAAATTCCAGGACTAAAAATGAGTAAATAACTTTTCAAACAAGCCAAATTATCTATCGTGTCTAAAAATAAGATTTTAAATCTTGGCAAGTCCCACATTATTTGCAGTGTGAGAATTCTGGAATCAGCACTCCAATCAGTGGATGCATAAAGTGTTTGGTAAATGGAAGACTCTGCCATTCCTATCACTGGGATGTTTACGGTTTTGGTGCTATGTGGATGTTGTTGTATTCCCTGTATCAGATCTCTTTGCAACAGGATCATCATAACAGCAATTGAGGGGAAACAACCACCCCCCATATCAGACGCCTCTCCTTTGGTCAGATGGTACAGCTATGGCAGAAGAAGTGGAGTCAGATGAGGACGAGTTGCCAATTTTACTGATGAAGATGAGCATGTGATTGATCTCCTAGAGAGGAGATCGAAAGGGGGATACTGTTGGGATCATATATGTTTTTTACATATATCTTTAATTCATATTTAGATTATCGAGTATTATTCTCTGCACCTCTTATATTAATCGCACACTATTTCATAATTTGATAATTTGGTGTTACTCTCCTCACCTTTTATTATTATCTTAATCTCACATTATTATCTTAAGGCAGGAGGGAGAACCTGAGGGTGCAGAGTGGCAAGTCTCTGCACCTACGAGATGGTGGAAGAAGGCTCAAGGACATGGAGGGGCCAATCAGCTAGCTGCAACACATTCTGTGCACATTCTCATGTAATAGTATAAGTACACTGGATCAGGGCGAGGCAGTCAGTCAGACTTCACGCCCTGACATTAACTTTGTTGGTGCTAGGGTAAGAAGTTTGATCCAGAGCTCTGTATGCTTATTCAACTATCTGATAAATAAAAACAGTGAGTGAGACATAAATATCTTCTCCTATTGCTTCATTAAATGAATGCGCAGGAGCTATCTCACACATAGTGTAATTTCTGGTAGATTGAGATTCACCTTCAACAGCTGTCAGTTCTATGAGTCATCTGGTCAAAGCACCTAATCTGCCCAGAATACCACAGGAACAAAAAGCCTACATGCTCAGTCATTTATTCATTTATTCATTTTGTATTTAACTTTTACGCTCAGAGTTTTTGTTTCGATTTTTGAACTCAACTCCTATGAACTAAGAAACACAATTCAAAGTAAAACATTTCTCTGCTACAAATTCTGTGGTATTTCACTGTTGAAAATATGCATTTCGTAGCTCATTAGTCAAACTATTGCAGCTTTTAGTTGAATTCACATTAATATTTATTCTGCGGCCTATAATAATGCAACACAATCGAATCACACTGAAATATCTAAATGACATCTTTGACTCGCCCACCTCCTCCCTGCATTATTCTCCCCCCCACAAGTCAGTCTCTGTTTCCCAGCATTAATGAGTAGGTGGAGCGTTGCCTCTCTTGGTGTTTGGAAAATACAGGTCAGTCTTTTTATATCTGCTGAGCCGCAGCATCAACACATTTGCATTTCCTTCTAATAAACATTAAACACAATAATTCATTCAAGTCAGAGGATTTTCTCCCCTGAACTTCAAAAGTCAGGAAAACATCTCAGAAATACTTTTTCTGGACTCCTGCTCAGCACCTACCTGGCCAGCTTGCCTTCTCTGTATGTTCGTCCCCATGGGTGTCTGTGTTTCTGCAACGGCCAGACGTCCGGCAGCCAAAGGGTGAGAGAGCCCTCCATGATCTCCCCCTCTGCACATGCTGGCTCGCTCTCCCGGCAGTAGTAACACTTTCCATAGAAACATGTATTATTACCTGTAGAAAGGGGAAAAACAGCACGGATGACTATAAATCCACTTGCCTGTGACATCTTACTAGAGCTGCTAAAAACACAATATTCATTGCTGTTGTTTCAATTCAAGGATTCAAGGCCTTTATTGGTCACAAACAACAGTTATACATGGTATAATGAGCAGCGAAATGCTTTCTGCACCTGTTTCACACTGAAACCATATCAAAAAGTTGAATAAGAATAAAGAACAAAACACACAAGATATATATATAAATATAAATTAAATTTTCAGACTGTGCAAAAGGAGATAAAACAGTACAGATAGTCCAGTACAAAAAATAGTCCTGATATTTTTGATCAACATTAAGATCATTATGTATTGATATTAGGGCCAAAATCGTGTTATTACACTGCCACGTTTTAAAAAAAAACTGAGATATTGCTGTGAATATTTACATTTACAGTTGTTCCTTAAACAGCTCACATGAAAGCTAAGGTACATGCTAGCTCGCTGGCTGAACACAGAGAAGCCTCTAGTCTCTCCATTCAGTAACTGCAGTGCAGCAATTCAGAGAAGTGTGTGACCAAAAATGACTTTGAAAGACTGAAATGAGGTGGTCTAATATAAGATTTACTCAAGCTGAAACTAACAGATTTCCATGAGCGAAACATTTCAAACATCAATATTGCAGTCGTTAATGTTCATTAAATTGTGGTAAGCTGAAATCTTGATCGTGATTAATATTCAATCAATTGTGCAACTGCTCACTGTCGATTAATGAATTATTTTCTGAATTAATCTG